CTTTCTGGGGGTGGAGGGCAGGGGACGATCTCGCTGCCTGCAGGCACAGCGCTGACAGCCTGGTGCCCCCCGAGCGTGCCAGGACGGCATGGCAGACGCTGCGGGGAGCCTTGTTTTAGTGAACGAAATGCTCCAAGGGTTTTTAAAACGCACATGGAAAAGCTGAGAAGGCAATGCCCCGTATTAGGAGCCATTTCTGCGTGCTGGGATCACGCAAGCCCAGCACGCTGAGAAGCCGCATGGTCCTTTTGTACCCTGCGCTGTTAGTAATCAGAACAGAAAGATTCTCATCCCTGAAGACAAGCGTAAACTAAACTAGGAAGATTCCACTGAAAACACAGTGTCTCTTTAACCCAGCTTAACCGGAGAAGCAGAGAAAGCCTTACCAGAAACAGCCAGAAGAGCTGAGGCCCAGCCCACAAGCAGCCCCTCCGGCACCCGCCGCTGCGCCCCGCCGCCCCCCGTACCTCCAGCTTCTGGAGCCGCTCCTGCTCCTCTCTCGCCAGTTCCTCCTCTGTCTTCATTCTGTTCGAGGGCTGAGCCTTCATCTCAAAGCCAAGTTCACGAACCATCACGTCGTATGCATCAGGCTAAGCGGGAGGGAAACGCTGTTAGTGTTTCCTTTTCAGGAAAGTCTGTGTCCACACCCAAGCCTTCTTCCAGAGAGAAGGCTGTCTGAGGGGTCATCAGGGACTGAGAGGTCAAGAGCAGTAGGTCACAAAAGTCCTCACAAAAGACTTGGGGTTGGGGAAGGGGGAGGGGAGGGAGGAAAATGTGCAACAGTGAATGAATTAAAAAAAAAGAATGTTTTTATATTGGTTTACATTTCAAAAAAAAAAGTAACAACAAACAGTGCTCATGTAGGTGTTAAGGCCAGGGTGAAGTGAAAGTGAACAGCAACAGGAAGTGAGGCTCACAGAGCTGCTGAATGGGCCTGTGACAACGGTGTGGGAGCCTGGAGACGTCCTAAACGGATGTGAGAAGACTCCATGACAACGTGGCATTAGGGCCTGGGAACCAAACGGTCAGATGCCCAACAGCCTGGACCACGTGACATGGAGACCTGGAGATGTCCCAGGAGCAGACGTGTAAGGGCCGTGTGACAGGGTGACGTGTGGACCTGGAGATGTACCCGGAGCAGACGTGTAAGGGC